CCCATACCTGCCTGTCTTATCCTATCTTACAAGTGAGAGTGGGATATTACTGTTTTAACAAGAGCTTCTTGTGTGGGTGAAGTTGAACATTATTGTCGACTTGTTTTCTGTGTTCTGCCTGGTTTTTTTGTTGTGTGTTTGTTTTATGGGTCTCACTTTGTTGCCCAGGCTGAGGTACAGCGGTTATTTATAGGTGCTGTTATAGCACACTACAGCCTAGAATTCTTAGGCTCAAGCCGTCCTCCTCTTCAGCCTCCTGAACACTGGGGTTGTGCAGGCGGGAGCCACTGCAGCAGGCTGTCGGGTTGTTCACTTTCATCTCTCATCCATTTCTAGATTTCTTTACATTTTAATAAAATTATCCCTCTGTTTTATGTTGCAAATATTGGTTCATAATTTGTTCTCTTGTCTTTCAACCTTGTTTGTGGTTTGTGATAACCTCATAAATTCAGCTTTTTATGTGCTGATTTTCTCATTTTCTTGATGTTTCACAAGGGCCAATTTATCATTGTAAATAATGGTTCATCACCTTTTCTGGCACTATGCCCTTTTGTAGATGCTCAATAACAGTTGAGTCTCCCCAAGGCTATAGGGGAAAAAAATAACTTTTATTCTCTCTTCAGTCATTTTATAAAAGTTAAGTAGTAAAAGTGAACAGTCATAAGAGTTTATAATCAGCAGTTGTATTTCAGTGGCTTAAACAAAAAAACAGCAGTATTTTTGACTCACTTTGCTCCAATGAGTTGAATTAAAAGTCTTTGTAATGATCAGGAAGACTTTTACAGTCAAACTTAAGACTAAATGTACTGGGAAAATAATTAAGAATTTCTTGGCCAGGATTACTCCTGTAATCCTAGCACTTTTGAGGCTGAGGTGGGAGGATCACTTGAGGCCAGGAGTTCAAGACAAGCCTCAAGAATATAGCAAGATCCACGTCTCTACAAAATTAAAAAAACAAAAAATTAGCCAGGCAGGCGTACACACCTGCAGTCCAGCTACTCCAGAAACTGAAGAGGGAGGATTGCTTTCACCCAGGAATTTGAGGCCACCGTGGGATCTCACCACTGTAATCCATCCAGGACAACAGAGGGAAACGTTGTCTCCAAAAACAAAAAAATTTCTTAATATGACTTTATCTAAACTCTAAAGTAGTCATACAAAAAGGAGAATCACTAGCTAAGAAAACTAAATAAAAGAATTTTCTTTAACCATGAGCCTTTCTAAAATATGTAATCTATCAAACTCTTAGCTAATTATAGAAGAGAAGGGACTTTCCCCCTTTCCAACCACCTCTCTATTAGAGTGAATCACATACAATCATGATTATGTCAAAAGTTCAAAAGGGAAAATGGAAGGTAAAATGAGCTGAATTGGCACTCTTCCCTCAACATTGTACCTGTAATCTTGATATGTTGTTTCAGAGATTAACTTTATAGACTTCCGTACCCAGAAGTATGAAAATTCTTAGGGAACTCTTTTCACAAGCTTGATCTTAACATATTGAATAAAGAGAGCAGTTAATCCCTTTTGTAGAGTAATTTGAGAGGAGGGAATTCAAAATGTAAAATCTCACCTGCAGAAAACACTCAACTCTGTAAAGGCCTTTCTATCTTTAGACACTTACAAAGACTTTAATATTTTAATGCGGAAGGGTGAGCTTGGTTAAAAAGCCATTGGATGAAATTAGAGAGAAATAATCCATTGCTTTCTTTCTGGGAATTATCGTCCTGCTCTCCAGGGGACCTAATTTTATTCCTTGTGGGGAATGAGAATACTCCCTCTGTACATCAAGCCAGCATCTTTAAATATAAGCTTGACTTTTAGTATAATAAGAGTCTTGTTAGGTGCAATTTTGCTCTTAGTCATTAATACAATGAACAAATGTTGTGGTTACCTGGGAAAGAAAATTCAAGTGCTTTTAAACCTCATGTGAGATTTGGTTTCATGCTTGAAACCTATACACTGTTATGCCCAATAGCATCTGTAGAAGATTCTAAGCTATAAGGTATACAACATAGAGAAGTTAATACACTTTGGAAAAAATGGACCACTACAAAATGGATTAAAGGTCCTCTATAAAAAAAAGCTTTTCTTTTACTGAACAACAAGTATTTTACCAGTAGCTTTAAGCTAAACAAGTAGAATTTTCTTAGTAAATTTTTTAAGCTGATGGTATCCCTATATACAAAAGGAAGTTAGTCTTTTCTTTAGGTGGCACTTACCTTTTGTTCCTCCTAGGTGTAAAACTGTGCAGTTCTACAAGTGAAAAGACTAAGGGCAAAACATAATTGAAGATATGTATTAATAACATTTTTTGATGGGATATGGTATTGTGTTAGATTATTTCTATCTCCTACAGACTTTGTAATAGACATATTACACACATTTTAAAATCTATTTTATTTATTTATTTTTCCTTTTCTTTGAGACAGTCTCATTCTCTTGCCCACGCTAGGGTGCCAAGAG